CACTACAACCCCCGCCCTCTGCCCCAGGTCCCGAAACAGGCCCCTCCTGCAGGGTGGCGCACCAGTGTACTGATACCCCAGCCCCACTGTGCCTAGTAAAGCGCTGGGTGCACCATGAGCTTGGAGGCAAGTGTTGAGGTGCTCCAGGCACTGAGCTCTACAAGCGCGACCCCACCCCTCTGCCTGGGGGGTTCCCATAAATAGTCACACAGAGTCTAAGGGATAACAAAGGGGACCTTAATGGCATTACTATAAGTTAACAATGTTTTTACCCTTGGCACAATGAATAGTCACAAGCAAAAGAAGGACCAAGGGTTCCCAGCCAGTCCTCCTTGAGGGGTATAACAATGGGTCTCCTCCACAGTGGGTGGGTCAGAAATCCACGGTTTAAATATTACTTAAAAACACAGTTCTTCATTCAGGCTGAGATTTTTAAATCCACATCTCAGCAGCTTTGACATTTTTCAATATTATATTTTAGTGAGGAATACTGGCTATTGGTCCAATTCAATAGCAATTACTCATGCAAGTAGATCAACTCATTCATTTGGTTGCAGAATCAATCCCTAGCTAGTTTCCCTTTAAGGTGAGCACTTGGGTGGCCCACCCAGGAGAGATTCAAATGCAACCCAGCTTTTGACTAGCAGAGCACAACAGTGCCCACAGCTAGATGCATGCGTTTCTACTGATGGTGCACATTTCCTTTGGTGCACATAACAAAATTTATTCAGTATATGGTGGAAACATTAGATAGAACAATGGCTGTAGCTGCAGAAAGGCACCAATGGGTGACTTCTTCTGATATCATTTACCAACATGCAGCAATGGGTTATCATAAATGGAGATCACAGAATTCATTTTGTTATATTTTTCAGTGTAATTGTTACAAAAATCAACACAAAAACCTCCCTTCTCCTGAGGCTTTGGTATTGCTGCACAATCTTTTTGGTTCCTAAATTAAGGCCAGTTGCCAGTGCCATATCATAACTGGCCAGTTGATGATTGTCTTTTGTATAAAGAAGTTTCTGCCTCCTCCTCTGGGTCTGGTCTACCTGGTGCTGAATACTTCCTGGGAAATGGTGACTCCACAAATCTTAATGTGGTCAATGGGAGAGAAGAATGGCCTTAAACCCTTTCATTTTTAGACTACATTTATAATTTTTCTTTATTATGTCATATTTAAAGAAAAAAACCTGAACATGTGAATGTTGCAGATATTTCCGTTGCCAAAAGAATAAAAAATTGACTCGTGAATTTAGCATACAACATGAAAACAGGTACAGATTAATAAGTGTTTCTATATTCATCAGAAAGCTCTGTCAGAAGAGCATATGGCATTAAGAGTATCCAAACAGTTAGCTGTAACATAACAGCTCTTTGCAGAGCAGCCAATTCACTGATGGCTTCCACCCACATTTCTGTTCTAGGTGGTATAATGAATTACT